GTCGATAGGCTCCTGAGCTAACTCTGCGCTAACTCATGTTACAGGTACAGCATGCAGCAAAGGAAGCTTCGTGGAAGCTTCCTTACACGCGCGCGCGACAGTGGCTTGTGTTACCAGCCGCAACGAAAGGCGCTGCAACGCAACTTCAGGTTGCCTCCTCCCCGCAACACCCAGGCCCACAGGAGACCTGAGGCTGAGGACGGGTGAAGGAGGTCAGCTGCTTTCGGGAAACTCTTGCAATAAGTCTTTACCTACATTGCATCTCGCTTCTGTCCTTGATTAAAGCTAGGGAGCAAGTGTTAGAGCAATGAGGCCAAATACTTGCGGCAAGTGTTTCCCCAACGCAGCTAACCTCCCTCCCCCGCCCCCCCGTAACCTGCAGGTGCAGAGCAGCTGGAGTTGAGTGGGAGAAGGCAGCTGAGGCGTTGCAGTGCACTCCGCTGTTACTGGCGATGCAAGCTAGCCTCACACGGGAGCACAAGGAAGCTTCAACACAGATACCCTCAGTGCATGCTTTATCTGTGTAGACACCGAGCGTTTGTATCTGCCTGCATGCGGCCTATCAAGGCCAAGCTTATGCTCCTGTGATAGCTCCAGGCATACTATGCAACACACAAACCATGGTATGTGCTGCTGCTGCAGCNCTTATGCTCCTGTGATAGCTCCAGGCATACTATGCAACACACAAACCATGGTATGTGCTGCTGCTGCAGCAGCAGCTGCTGCTGCTGCTGCTCAACTCGCAGAGGAAATCAGAGAAGGGGGACTGTGCGGTGAGGAGACGGGGCGTGAAACTGTATAGGCGGCGGAGAGGCAGCTAGCGTTAGATTTTGTATTTGCATAACATTAAAAAGTGTGTTGGGTGGTGGTTTGGTGTTTTATATGAAGAGAGCTGCTGCGCTGGGGATCGGCCGATCCCGGTGCATGCGGCCTCAGTGATCGGCCTCTCGAGTGCTGCAGCAACGCCAGCATCGAGGCGGTGTTGCTGCAGTCTTTTTTGTTTTTGTTTGCATATTTTTATCAATAAATATGCAATATAATTGTTACGAATACGCACAGGTCGCCTCATCAGCAACAAGCGGGAGCAGCAGCAGCAGCTAGGCTGCGGGCGAGGCGTCCCCCTAGCAGCAGCTGCTGCTGCTGCTCCGGCTACTGCTCCCCAACGCTGCAGCAACAGCTGCAGCAGCAGCAGCAGCAGCAGTTGGAGTAGCTGCTTACTGTACAGCCTACAGCTACATGAGGCTATGAGAGCCTCTGTAGGGGGCCGCCGCGCGCAACGAGACGCAAAGGAGAGGCAGCGGCCGCCGGGATCGGGATCGCCATTGGGTCGGTGGATCCCCAGGAGTTGTTGTATTGGGTTTGTTCGTTGCTCCTACGGCGCTGCTTGCTGCAACCGCTGCAGCAGCAGCAGCAGCAGCAGCAGCAGGATAGCGCCGGGGTCTTGTGCGAATTTACTTCGGCCTGCAGCTGCAAGGACACCGACGACACACATCAACTCATCGTCAAGCAGCAGCTGTCTGCTNTACTTCGGCCTGCAGCTGCAAGGACACCGACGACACACATCAACTCATCGTCAAGCAGCAGCTGTCTGCTGCTGCTGCAGCAGCAGCAGCCACAAGCAGCAACATAAAGATGCAGCCTATACCCCGACGCTGCATGTGGGGTCTTGTGGGCCTTGCGGGGTTTGGCCTGTATCTGCTAGAATCCTTGGGGGGTGCTGAGGCATCGTTGCCTATTGAGGTCTCCTCTCTCTCCCCCTCGTCTCCCCAAGCCAATCGCGATCCCGATCCCAACCCCCCACACCCTCTGCAGCGCCGCCCCGCAGCTGCTGCTGCTGCAGCAGCAGCTATCTCTGACCCCTCACACTTAAGCCGAGAAGATGTCGGCTCGCTGCTGCGGCTACCCAGAAGAGTGCAGCGGCGCAGCAACAGGTACAGCAGCAACGCCCCCAACCGCAGCGACGATGAAGACCTTGAGCACGAGCTGCAGCAGATGCTGCGAGAGGAGATGCAACAGGAGTTCAAGCAAGACATGCAGCAGGAGCTGAAGGAAGAGCTGCAGCAGCAGGGGCTGCAGCAAGGCATGCAGCAGCAGCTGCAGCAAGAACTGCATCAGGAGCAGCAGCATGAGCTGCAGGAGACTCTGCGGCAGGAGCTGCAGCAGCAGCAAAGGCCAGGATTGCCTATAGGGAAACAGTGGGCCTCCTTCGGCCGCAACCACAGCAAGAAGGGCGTAACGCTTGCTGCTGTTCTGCTGCTGTGTCTCGTTATATTCCGTATAGCGTACAGCCGCATGCACCAGCTGCAGCAGCAGGAGCAGCAGGAGCAGCAGCAGCTGCAGGAGCAGCAAGAGGAGCAGCAGGAGGAACAGCAGCCGGAGCAGCAGCCCGTCCCCACGGACATAGCAGCGGACGAAGCAGCAGCAGCAGCAGCAGCAGCACAGACAGACCCCACAGCAGCAGCAGCAACCACCCCTGAAGACGAAACACCGGTGGCAGCAGCAGACGGAGAAGCATCAGAGGCAACAGCAGCGGAGACAACAGCACCAGGAGCAGCAGCAGCACCAGAAGCAGCAGAGGCAGCAGCAGCTGAGGGAGCAGCTGCAGAACCTGAGAAGGAGTCCCCCGAAGCAGCAACAGCAGCAGCAGCAGCAGCAGCAACAGCAGCAGCAGCAGCACAAAGTGCTGCACCTAAGAAGAAGAGAATATCAACATTACTATCATCGTCAGATGATGAAGAGGAGACACCGATACCTATATCTGGGTTGCGGCCAGCAGCAGCAGGGCTGAAAGCAGCAGCAAGAGAAGTACATACAAAAATAAAAAAAGCAGCAGCAGCAGATGCAGGGACTCGTGCATATGATTCGGCTCTGGATGCTATCGAAGCAAAAGCAAAGACAGAGATATATGANGTAAGCTAGCAGCACAAGCAGCAGCAGCAAAAGAAAGAGCAGCAGCAGCAAAGAAAGAAGCAGATACAACAACAAAAAGAGCAGCAGATGCTGCTACCTTCGCTGCTGCTGCGAGGAAAGCAGCAAAAGAAACGAAGAAAAAAAATATAGTAACAGCAAAAGCAGCAGCAGCTGATGCAGAAGACGCAGAGAAAAAAATAAAAGATGCTATAGAGAAGAAAGAAAAGGCAGCAGCATCACGAGCAGCAGTAGACAGAGCAGCACTACTATCGGACCCGAAAGCAGCAGCAGAAGCAGCAGCAAAGAGAGCAGCAGAAGCGGGACGATTGGAAGCAAGAGCTGCTGCCTTGAAGCGAGCAGCAGCAGCACCAGCAGCTAAAGCAGAAGCAGATGCAGCAGCAGCAGCAGAGAAGGCAGCAGTGGCGCAAGCAGCAGAGGAAAAGGCAGAAAAGTCTAGATATGCCGAAGACAAGGCAAGAGAAAAAGCAGCAGAAGATACAGCTGAAGCACAGGCAGCACGAGAAGAAGCAGAAGAAGCAGCAGCAGAGGCAGCAGCTGCAGCAAGAAGGAAAGAAAACGCAGCAAAGAAACCAGCAGGTGCAGCAGCAGAAGACGAATCATCAGCAGAAGAGTCTGATGATGAAGCAGAGACACCAGAGCAGCTGGCAGCAGAAGCAGCAGAAGCAGAAGAGATAGCACGAGAGTCAAGGGCTGCAGCAGAAGCAGCAGCAGATGTAGCAGCAGCAGATGCAAAAGCAGCAAATGCCGCAACAGCAGAAGCACAGGCAGCAGCAGCAATAGCAGCAGAGTCAAAGGCCGCGCATTTGAAGGCAGCGGAAGCAGCAGAAGCACAAGCTGCTGCAGCAGAAAAAGCAAGAGCAGCAGCAGCAGCAGCACAGGAGATAGCACAGCTTGCTGCAAGTGGAAGCAAATCACCAGAGGAAGTAAAACGTACACTGTCAAAAGCAGCCAGGACGGCAGCAGCAGATGCAACAGCAGCAGCAGCAGCAGAAGAAGAAGCAGCAACAGCAGAGCAGAGGGCCAAAGCATCGTCTGCAGCAGCGAAGAAGGCAGCAGCAGCAGCTGTAGAGGCAGCAGAAACACTTAAGCGAGCAGAACCAGAGGAAAAAGAAACAGCAGCAGCAGCAAAGAAAGCATTGAAGGCCTCAAAACTAGCTGAAGGGGATGCAGCAGAGCTGGCAGCAGCAGCAGCAAGAGCAGCAGCAGAGCTGGCAGAGCTGGAGTCGACTCTAATAGCATCTAAGTCTATTGCCCAATGGAAAGCAGTAGTAGCAGAGAACGCAGCAACATCAGCATCTTCTGCTGCTACTGCAGCAGCTGCTGCTGCATCAAAGGCAGCAGCAGCAACCGGAACAAGGCCTGTCCCCACCCCGCTGCTGCAGCAGTTCGATGAGATGACAGAAGCTCAGGCTGCTGCTACTCGGCTTGCTGCATGTTTAGAAAAGGAGAAATCAGCAGAGCTGATGGGGCGGCTGCAGCAGGCAGTAGATGAGGCGGTGCGCATACGAAAGGCAGGGGAGACAACAGAAAACGCAGCAGCAGCAGAGCAGCAGTGGATGCAGCTGGAGGAGCAGCTAGACAACGTGTCTAGGGAGATGCACTCTGTGCTGCAGGCCGTTGCTGCTGCTGCAGCAGAGGCTTCGCAGGGGCTGCCTGAGGAGATAGATGTGGGGCCTTGGATGCCTCTCCTAGAACAAGCAGCAGAAGAGAATGACTACATCGATGGGGTCACCTCCACTGTAAACTCTCTAGCAGCAGAACACTTGCAGCTGAATGAAGGTGTTAATCTCGCGCTGCGGAGCCTAGAGGCTATAGCATCCTCAGGTCGTACGGATAAAGTGTATCTGTGTGCTGCAGCAGATGCAGCAACATTTCTCTTTGAAAACACAAAGAGGATGGTGTGGGGGGTAGAGAGCTGTCGTCAGTTGCTGCGTGATGGTGCAGAGGCAGTAAAGGCCCCTATAGCTGTAAAACGAAGCGATAAAAATAAATGGCTTGTGGCTCAGATTGAGATGTCTACGGGGGTGATGGCTGCAGTGTGGCGCAGGATGGAGACACTGAAGGGTGCATACGGAACAACAATGTTAAGCCAAGTAGAAGAAGTATTAAAAAAAGCAGAGAGTTTTTTAGGGGCTCATAATCTACAAAGACAAGCAATAGAAGAAAGTACAACACCTGAAGAGCTGTATACAGCTGAAGCAAACGCTAAAGAAATAGAAAAAGTACTTGATGAGCTTGTTGATGCTCTGAGAGGTGATGAAGGTGACCTTCCAAAGATGAAATATGTTATACCTCTAGGTGACCCTGCTCTGCAGCGTGTTACTATGGAGCTAGCAAAAGATGCAAGAGCTAGCTTCACCGAGGATCGTTTGTCTTTTGAGGAGGGGATGGTGCATATATACAGCTCTCTAGGAGATAGTTTTCCTGGGTTAGATAAACCTGAGAATGATTGGCCTCACCGGGTGTCTAGGCAGGTCCTACAAAAACTTGTAAAAGAAGTTGAAGACCTAGAAACTAATGTTAAACATCTTTCACGACACTTTGAGAAACATGCAACAAATACAGAAAAATATAGTCTTCTATGGAAGGGGAGACCAGTGGACTCAATAAAAGCAGCAAGAAATGAAGCAGAAAAAACAATAGAAGATACACTCGATATGGAGAGTGCACGCGCGGATGCATGTCAGCTGGTTGCAGACTATGAGCTCCTTAATCTCCTAGAGATAGATATGCAAAGAACAGCAGAAACTATAAAACAAATACCAGCCAAGCTGCTGCTGCAGGATACAGAAGAAGCAGCACAGGCAAGAACATTTATTAAGGAGGCATTTGCTGCTCTAGAAAAAGCTAGGATTGCGAAAGATGTTGGAGAGGTGGGGCGAGCTGCTGCTGCTGCAAGAGAGAGCGGTAACAGTCTCAGAGACTATCTCTTCTTCTTACAATACAAAGAAACACATATGGAGCTGCAGAAGATGGATGAGCAAGAGGCAAAGGAGGCAGAGGAAGCAGAGGAGACAGAGGAGACAGATGAGACAGGGGACGGAGGGGAGAGTGAGGATGGAAAAGAGACAGAAGGGACATATAGGAGTGGAAAGGTTGAAGGGAGAGAAGAGACACAAGACGCAGAGGAGACAGAAGGGACAGAGGAGACACAGGAGTCAGGGGAAACGCAGGAGAGAGAAGGAGAAGAAAAGGCGCAGGAGACAGAAGGGGGAGAAACGAAAAAAGAGACAAAAGAGACAGAAGAGACAGAAGAGAGAGGAGAAACAGAACAAACACGAGAAACAACAGAGACACAAGGGACAGAAGAAACAGAGCGAACACAAACGCCAGACAAGGCAGAGGGAACAGAGGAGGCAGCAGAGGAAGAAAAGAAAGAAAAGAAAGAAGAGAAAGAAGAGACAGAAGACACTGAAGGGACACAACAGACAGAAGAAACACAACAGACAGAAGAAAGAGGAGAGGGAGAGGAAAAAGAAGGGACAGACAAGAGAGAAGAGACAGGAGAGGCACAACAGCCAGAAGAGAAGCCGAAGACAGAAGAGACACAAGCGAAACAGGAGACAGAAGAAAAGCAGGAAGAAGAAAACCCAGAGACTGAAGAAAAAGCAAAAGAGACAAAGGAGACTGAAGAGACACAAGACAAAGAAAACACACATAAGCCAGGAGAGACACCAGAGACAGTAGAGACAAAAGGGACAACAGAACAAGCAAAAGAGACAGAAGAGGCAGCAGAGAGAGGGGAAACAAAGGAGACAGAAGAGAAAGGAGAGACGAAGGAGGCAGAAGAGCCAAAGGAGACAGGGGGAGCAGAAGGGACAGAAGAGACAGAGGAGGAAGAAGAGACGGAGGAGGAAGAAGAGGAGGGTGAGGAAGAAGAAGAAGAAGAGACAAAGGGGACAGAAGAAACAAAAGGGACAGAAGAGACAGATGCGAAAAAGGAGACAGAAGAGACAGCAGAACCTGTGGTGGTGAGGGCGATAGCAACGCCAGTGGAGACGAAAGGAACAGGAGAAAGGGAGGAGATGAAGCAGACAGAAGAGACAAAGGAAACGGAAGAGACAAAAGAGAAAGAAGAGGAGAAAGAGACAGAGAAGACAGAAGGGACAGAAGAGACAAAGCAGGAAGAAGAGACAGAGGAAGAAGAAGAGGAGGATGAGGGAGAAGAAGAGACAGAAGAGGAAGAAGAGAAAAAAGAAGAGAAAGAGACTGAGAGGGCAGAAGAACCAAAAGGGACAGAAGAGACAGAGGAGACAGTGGAGCCTGTAGTAGCACCGCCAACGGAGATGCAGGAAACAGAAGAGAAGGAAGAGAAGGGAGAGGAGACAAAGGAGACAGAAGAGATAAAAGAAGAAGAGGTGAAGGAGACAGAAGAAACAGAAGAGGGAGAAGAGACAGAAGAATCAGAGGAAGAAGAGGCGGAAGAGGAACAAAAGGCAGAACAGAAAAAAGAGAAAGAAGAACAGGATGAGATAAAGGGGGCAGATGAGGAAAGGGAGACAAAGGAGAAAGAAGAGACAAAAGAGGAAGAAGAGACAAATGCATCAGAAGAAGCAGAAGGAAAAGAAGAAATAGAAGGCAAAGAGGATACGGGGGAGACAGAAGAGACAAAAGAGGGAGAAGAGACAGAAGAGTCGGAGGAGGAAGAAGAGGCGGATGAGAGAGAAGAGACAAAAGAAAAAGAAGAGAAAAAGGATGAAGAAGAGACAACGGCGGCAAAAGCAACAGAAGAGACAGAAGAGACAAAGGGGACAGAGGAGACACCGCCAACGACGACGAAAGAAACAGAAGAAAGGGAGGAGATGAAGGAGGCAGAAGAGACAGAGGAGAAAGAAGAGACAGAAGAGGAAGAAGAGGCAAAGGAGACAGAAAAGACAGAAGGGACAGATGAGACGGAGGAATCAGAGGAGGAAGAAGCAGATGAGGAAGAAGAGACAGATGAAAAAGAAGAGAAAAAAGAGGAAGAAGGGACAAAGGGGACAGAAGAGACAGAAGAGAAAGAAGAGACAGAGGAACCAGTGGAGGAGACACCGCCAACGATAACAAAAGAAACAGAAGAAAGGGAAGAGATGAAGGCGGCAGAAGAGACAGAGGAGAAAGAAGAGACAAAAGAGGAAGAGAAAGCAGCGGAGACAGAGGAGACTAAAGAGGAAGAAGAGACGGAAGAATCGGAGCAGGAGGAGGAAGAGGCGGAGGAGAAAGAAGAGACAGAGGAGACAGAAGAGACAAAAGAGGAGGAGAAAGCAAAGGAGACAGAAGAGGAAAAAGAGGAAGAGAAAACAACGGAGACAGAAGAGACTAAAGATGAAGAAGAGAAGAAAGAATCGGAGGAGGAGGAGGAGGAGGAAGAGGCGGAGGAAGAGGCGGAGGAGAAAGAAGAGACAGAGAAGACAGAAGAGACAAAAGAGGAGGAGAAAGCAAAGGAGACAGAAGAGGAAGAAGAGGAAGAGAAGGCAACGGAGACAGAAGAGACTAAAGAGGAAGAAGAGACGAAAGAATCGGAGGAGGAGGAAGAGGCGGAGGAGAAAGAAGAGACAGAGGAGACAGAAGAGACAAAGGAGGAAGAGAAAGAAAAGGAGACAGAAGAGAAAAAAGAGGAAGAAGGGACGGGAACATCGGAGGAGGAGGAAGAGGCGGGGGAGGAAAAAGAGACAGAGGAGACAGAAGAGACGGAGGAGAAGGAAGAGACAAAAGAGGAAGAGAAAGCAGCGGAGACAGAAGAGACTAAAGATGAAGAAGAGACGAAAGAATCGGAGGAGGAGGAGGAGGAGGAGGAGGAGACGGAGAAGGAAGAAGAGACAAAGGAGACAGAAGCGACAAAGGAGGAAGAGAAGGCAACGGAGACAGAAGATACTAAAGATGAAGAAGAGAAGAAAGAGTCAGAGCAGGAGGAGGAAGAGGCGGAGGAGGAAGAGGAGACAAAGGAGACAGAAGAGACAAAAGACGAAGAGGAGACAAGCGGAGCAGAAGAAACAAAAGCGACAGAAGAGACAGAAGAGATAGAGGAACTCGTGATAAAAGAAACAGGTGAAGGGGAAGAGAAGGAGGAGACAGAAGGAGAGACAATGGAGACAGAAGAGACTAAAGAGGAAGAAGGATCAGAGGAGGAAGAAGAGGCGGAGGAGAAAGAAGAGACAAATGAACCAGTAGAGGCAAAAGAGGAAAAAGAGGAAGAAGCAGAAGAAGATACGAAGGAGACAGAAGGGACAGGAGAATCAGAGGGGGAAGAAGAGACACAGGAGACAGTAGCGCTAGCAGGAACAACAGAGACGAAAGAAACAGAAGAATCAGTGGAGGGAGAGGGTACAGAAGAGACAGAAGAGAAGGTAGAGATAAAGGAGACAGGAGAGACAGCAGAAGCGCCAGGAAAGGCAGAGGAGACAGAGGAGGAGGAGGAGGAGGAGGAAGAAGAGACAGATGAGGAAGAAGAAGAGACAGCTCAGGCAAGAAGGGGGAAGAGAAAGGAACAAAAAAGACGAAGGAGACAGAAGAAGCGCATGCGAAGGGCGAGGGACGAGGAGTAGAGGAGACAGAAGAAATGCAGGAGACTGTAGCAGTGGAGAAAGCAGATAAAACAAAAGAGGAAGAAGGGACAGAGAAAACAGAAGAACAGCAAGAGATAGGAGCGGCAGAGGAGACAGCAGAGGGAGAGGATACAGGCGAGACAGGAGAGGAAAAAGAAACAGAAGAGACAGAAAAAAAAAAAGGAGACAGCTGGGACTGAACTGACGCCGTTTCCCTTGAAACACAGCAACCCTTCCCTCACCCCACACTCAGTACCTGCTGCTGCTGCTGCTGCTGGTGCTGCTGCTGTTGCTGTTGCCGCTGCTGCTGCGGCTTCAACAACTGCAGAAGCAGCAGTAACAGCAACGGCCGCTGCAGCAGCCGGGAGAGTGGCTACAGGACTGAGAGAAAAAGGAGAAGAGGGAGAGACAGGAGGCGAATCACGGCTACTTCGAGTGTCTCCTCCAGCCATACCCAGCTCTTGCTGGCTAGCTGTCTAGCTAGCTGGCTAGCTAGCTGGCTAGCTAGCTGGCTAGCTAGGTAGCTGGCGGTCTAGGGTGTCTGCGGGCTTCTGTCGGTGCGACGATGCAGTCTTCTACTCTCCGCCGCGGCGCTCAACACCACCACCACCTACAACAACAACTGCAGCAACAAAAAAACAACAACAGCAACAACTGCAACAAAAAAAAAAAACAAAAGCAACAAGAGCAACAAGAAGAATAAAAAGAACAACAGCAAGTCCTCCACCGCATGGAGAGATGTACCAGGTAGTTCCCGGTGTCTGTATCCGCGTTCGTATACGTGTGTAATATAATAAAGTTAGCTTCTTTTGATTAGGGACAGAAAAAATGAAGGAGACAAAAGGAGACAATACCCCATCGTGGGACTCCTTACTGTCTCCTTTTTGGGTGCTTTGGGGTCCCCGCAGTTTGCTGCGCTACTTTTTTGTCCTTGGGGGCATCCAGAAGGAGGAGTACAAGCTGCTGCTGCTTCTGCTGCTGCTGCTGCTGCTGCTTCTGCTGCTGCTGCTGCTGCTGCTGCAATAGCAGCCCCCGTTAGCTGCCTCTCTGGGAGCGCCTTCGCGCCCCTAGAGGTGAAAAGGAGGTCGTTAAAGGAGACAGAGACTGAGGAGACAGACGAGAAGGGGCTCCTCGCCGGCTGCCTACGGATGAGGGGTTTAGGGTTTAGGGTTTAGTCTCCTTATATCCTGCTGTCTATACACTTGCTCTCTGTACACCAGCTGTCTATACAACAGCTGGATGTACACCAGGTCTCTCTTTTTAACGACCTCGTGGTTGTTTCTTAACCAACATTTGTTCTTAGCATTGTTTCGACTACCACTGCTGCTGCTGCTGCTGCTGCTGCTGCTGCTGCTGCTGCTAGGGCTGCATGCATCAACAGTAGAGCAACTGTAGTACACCAGGAGAGTTGCAGGCTTAGTGTAATTGAGTCTCTTCATCTACATCTCCTCTTTTTACACTGCTGTCTCCACCTGCATCCACGCACTGCTTCCTCGTCTCTTCTCACTGGAACGACGGTCCCCACAAGCATACCTTTACGCAACTCTATAGCGATTGAGCAGCTGTGGCTGCTGGTGGTTAGCTTTGGCTAGCGGCGGCTAGCTCTGGCTAGTTGCAGCTAGCTGTGAATAGCTGTGAGTATCTGCCGCCAGCTGTGGCTAGCTGTTACTAGTTTTTCTAGCTGTGATTAACTGTGGTTAGCTGTGGATACCTCTGGCTAGCTGCTGATAGCTGTGGTAGCTGTGGTTAGCTGTGGATACCTGCGGATGGCGGTGGCTAGCTGTGGCTAGCTGTGGCTAGCTGTGGCTAGCTGCGCCCTCTGTGTCGAGCGGGTGGAGCAGCGTGAGTGTCTCTGAAGTGGGGCTGTTCAGCAGGCCCACATTTCTGCAGTTGAAAGGAGACAGATGTGTCTCCTCAGGGGGCGTGGCTGCTGAGGAGACAGAAGGAGACAGTTCTGTCTAGTAAGGAGACGGGTGTCTCCTCACTAGACAGAACTGTCTCCTTATAAAGGGGCAGCAGTGTCTCCTCAATAGAGACGGAGACAGCAGTGTCTCCGTAGGAAAAGAGAGTGGTTCACTCAGAAGCAAGAGATAGGGGGAGGAGGAAAGTGTCTCCTCCAGAGCTACAAACTCCACAATAGGAGACAGAAAGGTCTCCGTAGGTGGCAGGAGTTTTTTTTTTTTTTTTTTTTTTTTTTTTTTTTTTTTTTTTTTTTTTTTTTTTTTTTTTTTTTTTTTTTTTTTAATAGAGAGGAGTGTCTCCCTAGTGAACAGGAGGGAATGCATGCCTCCATAGGCAGCAAGCTGTGTTGGTGCTGCTCCTCTGTGGGGTCCTCTCCTTAGTTTATCGTTCTAGTTTACCTCTTTACTTTGTCTCTGTACATTGTCCCCTTTGCTTGCCTCTTCAGTCTGCCTCTGTAGTTTGTGTCTATCCTCTGTCCCTTAGGTTTGTCTCTTTAGCCTGTCTCTTCCAGTTGTCTCCCTCCCCTGTCCTTTTAGTTTATCTCTTCACTTTACCTTTGTAGCGTTTTCCTTCAATGCTTCTCCCTAGCTTCTATCTTTAGTCTGTCCCTCTCGTTTGTTTTCTTAACTTGTGGCTTAAGCTCGTCCCTGTAGTTTGTCTCCTTATTTTGTCTCTTTAGTTTGTCTCTTCAATTTGTATCCTTTGTTTGTTTTGTTAGTTTGCGTTTTTAGTTTGTCTCACTTTGTCTGTCTCCATACTCTATTTTGTCTCCTTAGTTTGCGTTCATAGTTTGTCTGTTTATTTTGTCTGCTTAATTTGTCCCTTTAGTTTGTCTCCATCACATGCATCGTTCATTTGTCTCTTTATTTTGTCCCTTTCATTTGTTTGTTTAATCTCTCTTTTTATTTTCCTTTCTCAGTTTGTTTTTTTCATTTGTCCCTTTAGCTGTCTCTTCAGTTTATTTCTTTCCCTTGTTTGTCTCTTTAGTCTGCTTCTTTAGTCTCTCTCTGTAGTTTTTATCCTTCATTTGTCTCCTTTTTTCTATTTACCTTCCTCTTTAGTGTGTCCCTTCAGTTGTCTCTTTAGCACGTCTCAGTTTGTCTCCTTCACTATCCTCTTTATTTTGTCTCTTTAGTTTGTCTCTTTAGTTTGTCTCTTTAGTTTGTCTCTTTATTTTGTATCTTTACTTTGTCTCCATTGGCCCGTTTACTTTGTCCCCTTCATTTGTCTCTCCACTCTGTTTCCTACATTTGTCTCTCTACTTTGTCTCCTTCACCTATCTCTTTGCGCATGGAGATATGTATACAAGTAATAGGTGCAGCAGTACGCTGCCTACAAGCAAACACAAACCCACAATAAGTGTCTCCTCCATAGAAAAACAATAAACTAAAGAAAACTCCATTCAAGCCAGGTTCACTGCTACTACTCTCAGGCTGTCTCCTCCCCCTCAACCCCTTGCAGAGAGCTGAATACCCCGGATGCTTGGGGACAGGGGACAAAGGTTAGTTATATATCTATATACATAGGGTTTAGGGTTTAGGGTTTAGGGACGAAGGTTAGTTATATATCTATATACATAGGGGCCTTTGGCTGCACTGCAGCTCGCTTACTCCTTAAACTATAAAACACGAGATACACTCGGCAGCACTGCTTGGCTCATCGGAGACAGCGTGAGCACCGAACCCCCCCCATACAGTATAGCTTCATATACAGCTAAAAAGAAAAAGATAAAACCCTGCTTATATAGTTTCTCCCTCAAGCATCAGCCGCTTGCCCCCTACCCAGTGGAGATTTATTATAATATCCCATATATATATATATATATATATATATATATATATA